TGACGTTGTATTTTGTTGTTGCATTCAAGCAATTGAAGCCAAATTGCCGCTAATTCGAAAGTGAAAGTAAAACGCGCACGGTGCTTTTAAGCTATTTAAAAGTGAAGAAAAGCGAGGAAAAGAGGGAAAATTCAAACGAACAATTGCTTTACGCCGAATTGCCGCTATTTGAAAGTGAAAGTAAAATGCGCACGGCGCTTTTGCAAGCTATTTAAAAAACCAACAGCCATCAGTGATCATTTTTGCAACCCACATTCAGGTCGCACTCCATTATGGTTTGTAACACTCACTTTTTATGGTCCAATTAATTCCTGACAGATTAAAATCAAGACCTACAATTTTTTTTATTAAATATCGTCTAACACTAGAAAAAATAAGTCTTGAAGGAAAATTGTTTACAAATAATAATTCATTTTGACTTTAATGTTTTTGGGAAATAAATCTTAATATGTCAGTTATGCGAGTACCATGCAGTTAAATTGTTTGTAAAACCATGATGAGCATTTAGTCCAGTATAGGAAAGCAGCACATTTTGTTTTCCAGATGAATCATCACACTAAAGATGATATACCACCTATTCCAAGGTTTCTCAAGTCTAGCACTCAAGGTCCATCTTCCTGCAGAGTTTATGCTGCGATCCATTTACCTCGGATGTCGAAGCTGGGAATGATGTCACACCCGAGTTGACAACGTTCCAGTACACAAGTCGGAAAACCAAGATGGACGTGTTCACCGATAGCAATACCAGTCGATAAAAACGCAGTATTTTGTAAAGATAGCACCAACATATCATGTCCACATATAGAGGTTTGACAGTACTGTTTGCACCACTTAGTGTATTTAGACACAGACTAACAGAAATACAACATATTACTACTTTTTCACTTCTGTTGATGCTCTGAGAAGCCACACTGGATTCTAAAGTCAGGGTTGTTGCGGTTCCTCTGAGTCCGAGTCTGAATTCCAACTTGAGGGGGCATTTCAGTTAAAAGTTCCAACTGGGAACTTGGAATTTCCGACTTCCAAATAGGCTTGCCGCGATAGACGGTGCTGACGGTGATACC